TGAACTCTCAACCTCTGGCTCCATGGCCAGATACATAATCCACTGAGCTATTTAGTGATTCCATACTCCACAAAGCTGATGACATATCAGGCAATGCTTATTTATTTCAGAAATAAAAATTTCCAATTCTTCCCCCTTGAAGGTTCGAAGGCTCCCATGCAATCCCTTTCATTATGGAGAAACTGGTGGGCTTCAGTTTCTCCATGATGAAAGGGACTGCATGGGAGCCTTGGAACCTTCTGGGTTAGATGTAGCTTGATTCTCAGTAATTAAAGCAATGAAATCATGCTAGTGTTTTCCACAGCCAGTACTGTTTTGCTAGTCCAACCCAGAGCAAACCTGCTGGCTCAGTGGAATCCATGTAAGTGTTGACGTACCGTTCAGCAATTCATCCACTGTGTCTACTCTGTAGCTGAGAATAGCAACATGATACTGACCCATAAAACCAGAGGATACCAACATGCCCCTGGAAGTATCCTGAGCTTAGAAGTACACTTACGCTGCTAAGTCAACAATGTGAATAGCTGGAACTAAATTTCGTCCATCTCCAAAACATGGTATTGCAGGTGTCTCTCCAAGCCAAGATAACTGAAAATGACAGAAGAAACAAAGTTTGCAATTCAATTCAATGTATCAGCTAAAGAAGACAATAGCTGGGATCAAGTGACAACTAGAGTAGGTCCACTGAATCAGTGGGAATTTCAGGAGCCACTCGTCTAAGTTCCATTCATTCAGTGGGCCTACTCTAGTTGCAACTTACTACTGGATTTCAACTACTATCTTACACAGTCCCAATTCTCAATAGTGTGTTTTCTCCCATAAAATATATAAGAACATGTCCACAAAGACAAATATACACACATTTAGATCTATATCTATACAGTGGTGCCTCCGTTCCACTGAAATCGCTGTTTAGCGAAATCGTGAAAAGCATTTCCCCATTGGAATGCATTGAAACCTGTTTAATGCGTTCCAATGGGGAAGAATCGTCATTGTCTAGCGAAGATCGGCCATAGGAAAGCCGCTTTGCGAACTGCCGATCAGCTGTTTAAATCACTGTCTTGTGAAGCTTAGGTCCTGAAAACACCTGTTTTGCGAGCGCGGGGGGAGCTGTCAAAATTGTCATCTAGCGAAAATCGGTTTGCGAAGCAGGGACAAAACATTGTCCAGCGAAATTCCCCCATAGGAATCACTGTTTTGCGAATTGCTACAGTATAGCAATGTCTAATGAAAAAACTGTCATGTGGGTTAACTGTCTAGCGAGACACCACTATACCTGTACCCATGTGTATATCAATACCATCTATGGTGTCTGATGAGAAAGACAATATTCCAATGACACAAAGCTCAGAAAACTCATTTTGGGGGAAGAGAACTTTGAGGGGATTCTGAATTGTGCACCAAAAGAGGAAATTTTCCAATCACTGCAACAACTGCAACAACCTACAGTATCATCATGTATGCATCTCACTGACACAACTACCATAAGAACAACTTTTAACAATTCTACTGTTTCACTAGGAGATAGAAATATGTTGTGGACATGAACACATTTTTTCATGCAGCTTGGGAGCATGATACTCTCTCTACCTAGGAGCCATGATTGTGAGAAACATAGGGCCCCAGCAGAGTCAAAGTTTAAAAATGGCCTTGCCCCAAATTGTTTTTGTTTCTCTGTAGGCTCTGGTGGGCAATGTTCCCTCTAAGCTCTGCAGCTGCGGGCCACACAGCATGGCCAAGCCAGTGTTGCCACCCATTTGCTTCTGGTCGCAGGCAGGGCCACTGCCTAGCAATAGCAGAAAATTAGGGGGAACGTTGCCAGTGAGCCTACTTCATAATCAGAGCAGTAGCACTCCAATCAGTTTGTATCAGATGCCATTTTGGTTTCTTTGCCTATATCACTCGGGTATGGTAGTAAATTACAAAGGAAGCTAGACCAGATTGCTCAATGGTGCTTGAAGAATTTGCCAATTATCTCAGCTCCATGTTTGTGCATTATGGTTTGTAAAATGCCATAAGATACAGTATTCTGTTGTTTTTTTATCATGTTCTATAATCTCTACCCTGAAAGTCCTTATTCTGCTATGCTGCTACAGTACTGATAATGGGCTTTGTGGTTATTAAAGTATTTGGAGTGGATCCAGGTTTATTTTCCCTCACCTGACTCACTTGGTGACATGAACCTCACTGGCTGATCTTGTACAACACCTATCACACAACGTTGTGGTAAGGGGATCAAACAGAGAGAAGGGGAATGACATACTTCATACAGCTGTTTCCTCAAGCTCAAAATTGGAGAGGAAAGAAGTAAAATCATGGAAGGATTATTCAGCTTTTTACTGGTAAGGCTTTTCCTGCAGTCACCTAACTCAAGCATAAAGTCAATTTAACATCAATTTAATTATTAAGAATTCATCCCCTTCAATATAATGAATTGTTTTTTCACTCCCTGACAATTCACAAAAATGTGCTAAACCCTTTCTACTTACTATCCAATTTCTGCTTGAAATACATCTACCTTAAAAAAATAGTGCAGAAGTCTTTCTTCAGCTCCATACTGAACACCTGAAGCAACAACATATGTAGTGAATTTGCTTTTGTTCTGCGAGGAAAAAAAGAAAACACCTCCATTTATTTTTAAACATAATTAACTGTGCAAATACAAAATATTCTATGATCCTAATTTAGTTTACTCCCTACATAACAATCTTGTGAAGTTTATCCAAGATGGGCAGAAGGTAGATCTTGGTCAACATTTTATAACAGCAGCAAGAAAATGACTTCCACCTGCCTCAGAAAATCTTGAATAAAGAAAACTTAGTATAACCGAGAGAGCTTTTGGTGTGGAAGCCTCCTGAACTCTGGACGGTGTTTTTGTATTTTTTGTTTGTTTGTTTTTTGCCATGTCTCCCTCAGCGTCTTGTCTCTGAGGACTTAGGAGCCGGGCATTTCAATAATGCCTTGTAGGGAAGTGGCCAGGCAGCAGAGTCACAAAGGCCCACCTGGAGCAGTCTTCGTTGTGGTTGTCTATTTCTTCAAATGCAGTCTATGGTCACCACCTTTGCCGGGCAGGGCAGGGAAGGTCCTCTGTGGGAGTCGAATGGCGGTGGCAACAGCAGCTTTGCCACACTTGGTGCTCTACTGCCTGAGGCAGGTGCCTTGCTTGGTCTAATGGCAGGGCCAGCTCTGCCTCTCCATCATCCCTTCTCCAAACTGAACCTCTGGCCTTTTTAAGCAGGCTGCCTATTCCCCTTGCCAATATTCCGCCCAACAGAAATGGAAGGTGTTGGCCAACTTCATTGTGCAGCACACAAAAGAGCACTCAACTTATCCCAAACTGCCACTCTTCCAACAGTCCTACCCCAATCTCCTTTTCTCATCCCTTTCACAAGCAACATCCATACCCAATAGGAGTCTTGAAAAAAAAATGCTAAATTGGCAAGAAAGATGTTTGGCACTTCGGGAGAGAGTGGCTTAAAAGGGCCTTGGTTTTTCAAGCTCACTGCCCCTGCACACTGCTCCCATACATCGGGAAGAAGCAGTTCCATCTCCTTCCACCTGTGCTTTTCTTGACAAAAATAAGAGAAGTGGGCACACTAACCCAATTACTTGAGCTGCTTAAGAATGCAACTGCAAGGGGGATTTGTTTGGTCTGCTCTGGGGACAGGCTGGT